CAGCTATGTTTTTGGTAACCACCATAACTAATCATCAATCTCTTTTTGAACACTCAAGGAGGAGAAATATAAAGAGGTGGGGAGTGAAGGACTTTTATGCAGCCTTCTTTGAGAATGTCCAATGGATGAAAACGGCCAGAAACTTCCTTTTCTGCAATATATTCAGAGCTCCTGCAATTCCAAACAGATGTCGCTATCGTCATCGATCAAAGACGGATCTCTTGGGGATTAGCTAGGATGGCATCCAGACTGATCTTGAAGATGTACTAAACAGCAATAGTGCATTCCCTGTAGAATTGCATTGTAATTTGACGATTTATTATACTGCAATAGTGTATTCCATAAGGAAGGTAACTATTTGTTTCACTTGAATTGCACTTACTTCACTTCACTTACTATCCCTATTCTTAGTATACTTTTTTCAGGTTTTTTTAGAGTTATCCTGAGGTGTTGGTGATTATATTTGTATCCATTTATGAGTCACTATATTGCTTATTTTAATTTTCCATAAATATTAGGGCTTCCAGAGTGACATGTTTCTGTGATATGGAAATGAACTACGAAGGCTCTCAGGCAATGTTTAAAGGAACTCACCAAGCACCAATGGATTGACTACTTCTAATGGAGGTACTGGTTTGGTTATGGTGTTTGGAGTGCTCCTTAAAAGTTTTGCCCAGCAAAATTTGGAAAATCTTTAGATCAGAAAGAAATCACCAAGAATATGGTAATCTGGCAACCTTACTAAATAACATTTAGGCAAACACACAGGGCTAATCATGAAACACCTGATATCCAAAATCTAATGAAAATTGCAATTTTCATATTTACTAAAGCCAAATATCATCAGAATTTAATCAGCTCAAATGAATCTGCAGAAATTGTGCCTCCAAGGGTTTTGAACTATCTGCCTGCTAGCACTACCATCAGGCAAATAGTTGGTATCCTGGCCCAGAATTGAAGCATCTGTGTCTGGATTTGTCTGCTCTGTCCTGCAGTGTTCGTCCGTCTGAAATCCAGACCAAATTCAGGACCATTCTCAGCCTGAATTGCAAAATTAAAGCATTGTTAAAAAGCATGAGCAACGTCCATATTTTGCAGCAGGATGATTTTTGGACTTTAGTGATAACCCAGACAGACCACATTTAGTATCTTATTGTGTAGCAAAAGCAATGTAAGTTAATTCACACAAAGCATGATAGAATTTTATTGATGACACGGAGGCGAGTATTATGCTATCTCTTTCTTACTTTATTCCTCAGCAGCAAAGAGAAAATATAACTGAAAGAGAAAAAATGCAAAAATATGGATAATATAAAACCAGTTATAACCAGATCTGCCTAGTAACAGGGCAGCCAATCAGCTTGTAGGAACAGTCCTTAAATGCCTTGCTTAGTACTTCAACTTCCTATTTCTTTGCTGCTGTCCTCAGACCAGCTAAGTATTAATTTTCACTCCTGTATATTTGATCTTATTTGATTGTTACATGGGTTAATTTACTTGATTATTTTACTTGATTATTTCTGTGATGCTGTTTTATATCACCCTGTATGATTTCTGCATTTTCTGCAATATCTTATGTTTAGTTTTGTATGTCGGTTTCTTCCCCTGCGTTTTTCTGGCTCCCTGCCTGTGCTGTACCTTTAGTTAACACAGACAGGGGCTGCAGATCACAGGGGAAGTTATTCCAGGAGCTGCAGTGCTCCCTGATCGCCCTCCCTCCCCTCGCGACCGCATGTGCGGCCGCGTTGTCTCCGACCCGCTCAGCCTCCCCCTCGCGCCCACTGGTGCAAGGGTGTTTTCCCCGGCCGCGTGTGTTCCACATGCACCCCGGCCATTGGCGGGGGAGGAGCTTGGTTGCCCGCGACGCGCTCTGCATGCCCTCAGTGCCTGACGCGGCGTGCAAGACGCCAGAGGTTGACCATCAGATTACCCAGTTCCTGGCAAAAACGGTATTCACTCCATAATTGCCAGGACAAGATTTTGGACACTTTAGGTCCCGTTGCTAAGCTTTATGAGCTGTTGGAGACGGCTAAGACAGGGGACACTCCCCTTGATTTCGATGTAGCAATAGGATGGGTCCAGAGACTGATTTGCCTTCTCGGCAATGCTAACACGGCTATGTCAGCCGAACGCCACAAGGCGATCTTGCTTAAGATTGAACCTAAGTTGGTAAACCTTGCAGTGAAGGAACCGGGCGCTGCCGCTAAGGGCATGCTCTTTGGTGAGTCCTTCGTTAAAGACCTGGGCTCATTTGTGCGTACCTTCACTGCCCTAGATAAGGCCCAATCCAACTTGAAGCGCCTTTTTGGCCCAAAGGTTTTCCATAGGGCCGGGAGATATAGGAGCCGTCCGCCCGGCCGTGGAACTCGAGGTCCCTCACAGAGGTTCCTTTGCTGCCCCTCGGGCCTACCAGGAATACAAGCCCGCTCCCTTCTTTCCCTCCCGTGGGAGGACGTGGCAGAATCGGGGAGGACGTGGTCAGCCCTCGTACAGACGCCCTTACGGTGAGTACCCAGGAATGTATTTTTCCCCAGACAAGTGTGGGGGGCAGACTGGCTTTGTTTATCGACATGTGGGGCATGATCACCACAGATGTGTGGGTTTTAGATACGGTCAAAGGTTTCCGCCTAGATCTTTTATCTCCCCCTGTCCAGGTGGATACGCCTCAGGAACTGAGGTTGCCGGAAGAGCAGTCCGGGTTGATTACCAAGGAGATCTCGGAGCTTCTTGCCAAACGAGCAATACAGGAAGTCCCGTGCGATCATCCGGGATTTCTAAGCAACCTGTTCCTCGTTGCCAAGAAAGGTGGAGGAGTTCGGCCGGTTATCAATCTCAAACGACTCAACGGATTCCTCCGGTTCCTTCAAGATGAAAGGCATACATTGCCTCAGAGATCTGCTTCGGCAAGGGGACTGGATGGTCAAGCTAGACCTCAAAGACGCATACTTGACTATACCAATGGCAGAGGAACACTGGGACTTGTTGCACTTCACGTGGCAAGGACATCGCTGGAGGTTTACCTCTCTGCCATTCGGTCTCTCTTCAGCTCCTTGGTGCTTTACAAAGGTAATGAAACCAGTGGTGGCGTTCCTCAGGGCTCGAGGAGTTTGCATGATTATTTACCTGGACGACATCCTGATAATGTCCGCATACCCCGACCAACTATCCAGGCACCTGGAATGGACAGTGGATCTCCTGCAAGGAAAAATCCTTGGTGGCCCCGGTGTAGAAGATAGAATTCCTAGGTTTTGAGGTCGATTCGGTCGCCCTGTTCTTGTTCCTTCCAGAAGCCAAACTGAAGGCTATGAAGAAGGAAATCAAGCGCACGCTTCGGGCCACCTCTCTCTCCGTACGACAACTGGCGAGAGTGATTGGCCTCCTGGCCTCTTCAATTCAGGCAATTTTCCCGGGACCCCTACATTATCGGGCCCTGCAACGTCTGAAAGGGTCCCACCTTCGCACGGGCAGTTCATACAAAAGCGAATTAAGCCTGGACAGAGATTCCAAGGAGGAACTTCTATGGTGGTTGGACCATATGGAGGCATGGAACGGTCAAGCAATCTTCGGTACCGCTCCAGATGTGGTGATAGATTCGGATGCCAGCCTGCATGGTTGGGGCTGTGGAAATGTCTCCACAGGTGGCAGATGGTCCGAACTCGAGTCAACGCTTCACATCAACTGTCTAGAACTACTGGCGGGATCATTCGCCATCCGCAGTCTGTCTCCGACTCTGGGAAATTGCTGTATTCTTCTGCGCATGGACAATGTGTCCGCAGTCAGGTACATCAATCAACTGGGTGGCACGAAATCGAAGCAACTGGCGAACCTGGCAAGGGACTTCTGGCAGTTCTGCCTAGGCAGTGCAATCTCGGTTACGGCCGAACACATTCCGGGTTTGGACAACGAATGGGCGGAATTAGATACTTGAAAGACTCAGGAGATTGGCACTTACTGCCTTCGACCTTTCGACAGATAAATCAGCTAAGGGGTCTGCTACAACTGGATTTGTTCGCATCCAGACTGAACTCCCAACTGCCCCAATACTTCAGTTGGAGGCCGGACCCAGCAGCCACGGCGGTGGATGCGTTTCTGCAGATATGGCCTTGAGGTCGTCACTTTGCATTTCCCCCTTTGAAACCTGATCTCTAGGACACTGGCATATTTGTCCAGACAGGTGTGCACGTTGGTGATGATAGTTCCCCTATGGCAGACTCAGCCTTGGTTCCCGCGGCTCTTGGAGATGGCGATGGATTGCCCAAGGTTGATTACGATGCGACCGGATGTGCTTCTAGATCCGGATGGGAACTCACACAAATTGGTGGATCAGGACCTTCTCCAGCTCACGGCTTAGCTGATTTCGGGGGACCCTGGTGTGTCGCGGACGTTCCGCAAGCTACTACAAGGCTCCTGGAAAGTGCCTGAACATCTTACAAATCTGCATGCCGTATGTGGTCTGGCTGGTGTGTGGGAAGACTGCTGGATCCACTTTCTGCCCCTCTGAAGGAGGTGCTCAGCTTGCTGACTACGCTTTTCGAATCTGGTCTAGCCTACCGCACTATTAATGTTTATAGATCAGCCATCTCGGCCGGACATCGGGGCATTGACGGGTCGCCGGTTGGACAACATCCCTTCGTGTGTCGGTTGTTGAAAGGTATTCGTTATTCTAGACCTCCGAGATCCAGGTATTCATCGTTTTGGGATGTTAACGTAGTGCATGGCTTTCTTGAATCGTGGCCCATTAATGAAGAGCTGTCGCTGAAACAATTGTCCTGGAAACTAGTTATGCTCCTTTCATGCAAAAAGGTTTTTGGATGTCAGAGCTTTGGACTGGAACGCAATCTCCTTCACCCCGAGGGAGTGTCATTTACCATCTCGAGGAGGACTAAGACGGCTTCAAAGTTGGTGACCTACCCTAGGTGTCCTGTCCGACCTGCTTTGTGTCCGGTGGCTTGCCTGCGGGTATACTTGGATCGCACTCTCCAGTTGAGGTCATTGGAGTTGTCTCAGTTGTTTATTTCCTTTAAGACGCCGTTTCTCCCGATCTCCTCAACTACGTTAGCTCGTTGGGTTAAGAATCTTCTCTCCGCTGCAGGGATTGATACTTCAATATTTTCAGCCCATTCGGTCAGAGGCGCCATGGCATCAAAAGCTGCTCCGATGGGATGTCGCCTGGATGATATCTTGAAGGCTGCTGATTGGTCTAGTGAATCTACGTTCCGCTATTTTTATTTTCGCCCGATTGACCATGTTTTCTCGTTAGTTGTGGCTCAGCTTTAAACTAGCATAATAGGAGCCTCAGTGTCATTAATAAAATTCCCAGATTTTACTAATAACATGACGTAAAGTCATGATTTTATTAATGACACGGAGGCGAGTATGGGTTGGATCTACGTTTATGGTTCAATCGGGGGGGTTCTTCTACCTCACGGTAAGTGTTCACGGTTTCTCTTGATATTATGAGATTTAGTGTGGTGTATCGTTATTACATATGTGTTATTCCGATAGTTGGTGTATATGGCTATACAGGGCAAATTGTTATGATAAATTACATTCAGATCCTAAGTTTGGATTTTACCTCCTATTTCTCTGTTTTACAGCTTGATTTCGTTGTGATGACGTCTACCTTGTTGGTGATTGTTCTTTCCTGACGGGGATATATTTTTCGGTTCGGTCTTCGGTTCAGAAGGCAAAGAAGAGGAAGTGGAAGTACTAAGCAAGGCATTTAAGGACTGTTCCTACAAGTTGATTGGCTGCCCTGTTACTAGGCAGATCTGGTTATATCTGTTATTATATTATCCATATTTTTGCATTTTTTCTCTTTCAGTTGTATTTTCTCTTTGCTGCTGAGGAATAAAGTAAGAAAGAGATAGCATAATACTCGCCTCCGTGTCATTAATAAAATCATGACTTTACGTCATGTTATTAGTAAAATCTGGGAATTCTGCATACTTCAATATATTGAATGAACTACATGATTTCTTTGGCCAAGTGATGACTCATTTATTTGCCAGACTTTGTGACCTTGGACTTTGAAACTCATGTTAAGTAATCATTAGCTTAATACTTTGCAACATTATTCAGTAAGTGCTATATATGCAAACATATATAAATAAACTACTCCTGGCAAGTGAAAATTTAGGGTAAATTCAAAGTGAATTTCAAATTTAAGGTCAAAATCTATAATGCATATTATAGATAATTCATTAAGAAAATTGTGCCTTTATTATAATATTCAGAGGGTAGGCCCAGAGTTGCCCTCCAGTCCCCACTCGGCAGACGAGGACTCTAAATAATAAAAAATGGGGGGCAGACATGCCGTTATCCACCTCCCAAAAAGTGCCATATCCCCACTTCCCAGGTCACTAATCCCATAGCAATCCCTAATTAAAAATAAATAACACTACCTACCAACCCTCACCCTGAGTGTGTGGGCAATTAAAACTAATATTTAAAAAAAAGCACAAAAAAAACCCTAATTTTCTTAAGCCCTGAAATATGGCAAATTTCTAAATGTGAATTCCCTATGCAACCAATTAAAATAAAAAATAAAAACTCTGACTCACAAAAAAAAAAAAAGATGGGAAAATTCAAAACTGCAATGCAATAAAATTAATCCATCTTTGCCCCTCGAGGGCTTACTGCGGACGGAGCTCTCAGTCTCCCATTATGAAGGCTTTCCATGCTATTTCAGCTACTATACTGCGTGAGAAAATTTCATATGCTATGCAATAATAATAAGAGTGCACTGACAGCTAAGTCTCGAGAGTAACTGAAATCAGAATTCAGTAATTTACACTAGATTTTGCCCTGTGAATAACCCTGTTAATTACCATAATTGAAGCTTTGCAGATGTTGCAATCTGGTTCCTAAAGAGCAGCAGCAAGGGATGTCCTGCTTATTTATCTTTGGTAGCTCATGCAACCCCATAGCCTTAAGGACCAAACTTCTGGAATAAAAGGGAATCATGACATGTCACATGTCATGTGTCCTTAAGGGGTTAGATAGGTTATTCCAGTTCAAAACAGGTTCCTTAAAGAACAGATTTTTAAGATGACAAAAACTGTCATTAAAGCAAAACCACAAGGTACAAAATCACTGAGAATGGTCAAAAACTTACAAGGTTATTTACAAACTGAAGATTGTTGGGAATTCAATGGATTTAAAAATTAAGACCAACATAGCTGAAAATGGAAATATTCTCCGATTGATCTATACTGTCAGTTTGGCTACTGTGGCCTTAAAATTGAAATTCACTTGGAATTCCTGACAATTTTCACTTTAGTGAGTAACCCTGTATGTAGTTTGTCTCCATTGAAATCTCAAAAAAAATTTACTCACATACGCCATTACAAAAATAACCTAGACCTGTCATTTCAGACTGATCACCCATAAATGTGGGCAACATCCAAAATACAGGAACGCTCCTTCTACATGAGAGAAAATGCTTACTATGGTTTTTGTTTACTTTGGTTGCTAGTGTACACACCTTTGTGGGATGGGTCTGTTTTTTGGTGCCATTTGTTCAGGTATTTAAAATGTGATGCACTGTGTTTTGGTATACATGATTAAAGGGACACTATAGGCACCCAGACTCGATACAGTGTCTCTATTGCCCTGAGTCTTACTAGACAGCCACTAGAGGAGCATCTAGGATCATACTGGACTTTAGGTTACCTAAGTGGTGCTGGATATCCTCACATCCAGCATTGATATAATGGTTTCCTATGGGGAAGACCAAACGCACTTGCAGTGCATGCGCATTAGCCCTCCCTTTCGATGATGTCGAAGGAGGTGGAACACCGGCCCAGTGCAGAGGGAAATCAGCGCTGAAATTGGGTAAGTAAAAAATGTTTTTTAACCCTTTATTGGCCATGAGAGGCCATGAGAAAGAGGGGAGGCAGAGGGAACTATAGTGTTAGGAATACAACTTTGTTTTCCTAGCACTATAGTATACCTTTAAAGCATTCGGCCAAAACATTGTATGTTTTTTTTTCTTTTTTTGTGCCTCTGTTTCCAATAAATTTTCACTGATGTGTCCACCCTGTTAAGCATGTGGATTTTCTAGTATTTCTGAGATTAGAAAATTAGAAAGAACACACACACCCAGAACATTTATATCTTGCCATCTACGCGGTGTAAATTAAATAATCAAATTATGTTTTTCGTGATCAGTGCACTTTAAATATAAATTACAATATTTTACAATCATATTTTACTGTTTCAATAAAAAAAATATATACATAAAAAACATAGACTTGTATATATAAAAGTAAACCATTTAATGTAAAATTGTACCTAAATAAGAGCTACTCACTGCTATGATAAAACATAAAACTTAAATGAAGGCAGTGAACTTCTTTGGCACAAGTTACTTGTAAAATATTAGTGAAATAAATGGCCTGACTTCCTCTCCTAGGACTACTATTCTTTATTAATGACCTTATTTGACAGTCTGCCTTCACTCAGTCTTGTTAAATGTAATCCTTCTTTGTCCCTAGAGGGCTACTTAAATATGTATTAAGCTTTTAAAGCAGCACATGCATACATGATTTTGCTTTTTTGGTACACACAACAGGAGCATTTAAAATGGATACACATTTGGTTCTTACTTGTAAGCCATTTTAAAAGTAATTGATCTTTTTTCCAGCCTAGGGTTAGACACTAAATTTATTAAATCGTAGACATTTTTCACTTTCTTTCTACTCGCATTGTATAATATATTTCTATTCTTTCTAGAAGTGAACTAGAAAATCAATGTTTTGTGACAATAAATCATACGAGTTGCAATAATTTCCCTGGCCAAAGCTGTACACATTCTCCCTCCCAGAAAAAAATGTGACAGCCTCCCAAACCATAACCATCCCATATAAACACAGACATAAAACTATCAGGGTGTTTGGAAGAAGGTATCTCAAAGCTGTTTATGACGATTTATGCACAAAAGTATAATTGTGAACTTAGGTGGGTGGTAACTTTTTTACCACAACTTTATAATGCATAGCTTGATGCTGTAAGAGAGATTGCCAAGCAATGAAGGGACTGTGCTGATGAGCCACAGTAAGGTGAAACAGCCAGCAAGTAAGTAGCTAAGCATATTTTTATTTTATAACAAAAATCAAAGGTGCAAAACAAATATGTATAAAACAGTATAAAATCATCCAATTTGCACATTTATCACAAACCTGTAGGGGAAAAAAAAGCAAAACAAATCAGGGAGAACCCTCAAACCTCCTGTTCAGTGCACCTACTTTAATCGAAACAAGTCCTCCTATCTTTAAACTGGTGGTATCAATGTTGGATGCAGACTATCGCACTATCAGCCAGGATTTCTCCAAAAGAAAGTAAAGTAACAACAAGTAACATATAAAAAAAAAAAAAAGTGCTCAATGTGGTTCACTCTCTCATGGTTTCTCCTCCCTTCTCCATTTTAATGACATCCATTCTTTTTAATTCTTTTATGTGGGAGGTCGACACCACTATGTCTATACACAAGGTATGGCTTCACATCCTTTTACTGATGCTATTTCACTTCTGTATCTTCTGCGAAAATCTTCTGTATAAGCATCACCATGCCACCACATTAGACAATGCAATGCTCTGGGTCATGACACAGTCACGTCAAACTTGGGTATAACCATTAACAACTTTCTTAATCTGATGTATGCCGTCCAATGAGTTCTGAAGCATTTGGCTGAATATGAGCATATAATATTGCCCGAAACACTTCAGAATTCATCCTGCTGACAAAAGCAGCCATACATGCCCACGCAATGACACTACCACCACCATGCTTCACTGATGAGGTGGTATGCTTTGGATCATGAGCAGTTCCTTTCCTTCTCCATACTCTTCTCTTCCCATCACTCTGGTACAAGTTGATCTTGGTCTCATCTGTCCATAGGATGTTGTTCCAGAACTGTGAAGGCTTTTTTAGATGTTGTTTGGCAAACTCTAATCTGGCCTTTCTGTTTTTGAGTCTCACCAATGGTTTACATCTGGTGAAGTCTTCTCTTGATTGTTGACTTTGACACACATACACCTACCTCCTGGAGAGAGTTCTTGATCTGGCCAACTGTTGTGAAGGGTGTTTTCTTCACCAGGGAAAGAATTCTTCGGTCATCCACCACAGTTGTTTTCCGTGGTCTTCCGGGTCTTTTGATGTTGCTGAGCTCACAGGTGCGTTCTTTCTTTTTAAGGATGTTCCAA